CGGTTAGGTATGCCCACCTAGGAACACTTCTTTTAACCTTCATAGCGGTGACGTGTTCTTTTAAGGACGAGCAGCAGTAACCCAGCTTCAGGGCCACTCCAATTTGCAGAATTTCAGGAACACTAAAATAGGGAAAATGCAGGATTGCAAACGCCCTCTTGAGTCTTACATGCCCAGAAACCATACGAATTTGCACGAAAGTGTCTTCATTTACATCATACGAAAAACATAGAAAGTAATGAGCCATAGCAATTTCCAAGCGGTTCCGTTAGAATTAAGTGCAAAGTGGCACATAATAAAATTTCCCAAGATCGAAAGTCCAACAATCAAACTAACACTACAGAAAGAATTTCTTTCTAAGGATCGTAACCTACTAAAATTCATTTGAATCAAGACGTCCAATGGCCCACTAGGAAGCTAGAGTCAAGAGTCAGATGAGTGTACCATATTGCTCTATTCATACTTTCATAGTTCGAAAACAGGCAAAAGAAAACGAACACCTGATTTACGTTTGACACGTTAGCAACAAGTTACTAGGAATTTGACAATGTTATGGGTTTGTATACAACTAGCGCCACTTGGAAGATTAGCACAACTAGCGCCACTTGGAAGATTATAAAGTGTCTAGTGGCAACATAATCCACAGAATAATATAACCCTGGCAAGGACAGTGAGAGATATATTATGGTTGACTCCTTTTGGGGATGTTGAATCATCAAATCACTCTGTTGGTGAATCAGGGAAAGTGTTCAACACTGGACATAGCAAGCTAGCATCGATATGAGTGACCATAACACCGATGTGTTGTGTTTAATGCAAAGGAAATTACCAATATGCCAAGATGGTTGACACCCACAGACACATACTTTTACTGATAGAAGAAATGCTGGTTGCCTGGACTGAAAGGATTCAGATATGAAATGTTGACTTCATTTAAAAATTGACATAATAACACAGAGGATTTGTTCACTATTACAAGAGTATGATAATCTCGTTTGGTTGAG